AAATATATATAAATAAAAATTTAGATTAATTTAAAAATAGAGAACTTTGTAAGAATATTTGAGAAACACTTGAGAAAATTACAATTTTCTGTTTAATCGAATCAATTTTTCGTACAGGAGGCATGTACAAAATCATCTAATATCTGTAAGATAAAAAATTGATAATGAAAATTTTATTTTACGCTAGAAGGTTGAAATCAAGTCCATTCTACAATTGAACGAATTGGTCAATATAACATTAAATTGATATTATTTTGATTTTCTTGTTTTTGGGTTGTAGTTATAACAAGTAATCATTCACGGAGAGAATTTTCTTTTAAAATTTACTCTGAAAATATGGTAGTTGTAGTACAAAATTTTTATCATGCACTTTAGTAAAATTAATCACACTTATTTTATATTTTATTGTAGTTTTATTAATGAATGAAAAAGATTTATATATAAAATTCTTCGAAATACAGTATTATCCCATGGCTATCATATTTTCAAGGTGAATTCTAAGAAAAAATTCTATGTGTATTGCAATCAGAATATTGCAAATATGAGGAAAATATTCGATTGTGATTAGTCAATTCTTACAACTACTTATAATAATGCTTACGCAATTGTAGAATATGCTTAAGTCTAACTCTTTATTGTAATTTGATGTTTCATCAGCTACCACATAAACATGTAATATTAGTGTTACATAAAATGCCGCATTGATACATTTACTATTAATCTACTATAATATAAGAGATTTTATTTGTATATGAAATGACATATTACAATTTAAATATTCCTTTTACACTTTATATTCTTTTTATATTACTTGCAACTTCTCTTATTCCTTGTAGAATGACAAAAACGGAAAGAGTAGAATGCAAGCTGTCTTTATTACGCACACAGGATCTTTTAGCCCGAATCTACAATAGGTTTTTAAGCCTTAAGACATAAAAAATAAAATATAATTATATCAAATTCTCCTCCCATTTGACTGTAATTGGTTAATTTCTTACGGCTTTAAGGCTTAAAGTACCTATTATAAATCCGTTTTCAGCGATCGTGTGTGTAAACGAACTTTGCACTTTAAAAAAAATATGTATTGCAGTAGCAGTCATATATGTACATACGATAAATATTTGTCATTTAGCTGACTAATAATTAGCAGATATATTAACGCGCATGAACTTTGAGCTTTATTATATATTCAATAATCGCATCAATTAACAGTAATCATATATCAATATAAAACATGTATTAACAATTATGTATTACATAATGTTATGTATTATATAACGTTATTAAGTTTTAACATTTTAATATATTTAAATGTACTTAAATGTATAAATCCATTTATGAAATATAGCAGAGCCGAAACAAAGGTGTGGTAAGCGAGGCATTTGCCTCAAAAACAATTTGATGAAAGAGGTACAAAAATAGCAATATAATTTTTTACATATTCTAATTCATTAATGATGATTTTGAATTGTATGAAATTGAAGTAAAGTATTGAACTTATTTTTGAATTGTATTGGTGATATGAAATTACATAAAGTATCATCAGATTTTGAATTTCTCAAGTTATAAGTTAATTAGTGTTTTCAAGTTGCAAAATATGGCAACAGATTTAGCATTAAAATATGAAAATGATCTAAATTTCTTTCGAAATTTTAAGTTTCAAACAGCAATATTAATATTTCCCGAATTATATTTTAGATATTTTAAAACTAATTCATGATTATTCTTTACCGAATATCCAAACTTGGAGATATAAAAATATTTTTAATTATTCCAGTAACAGTAGCTATGTGAAAGAAATTTTAGTAAATTGAAGTTAATAAAAAATTATTAATATCATCATTAAAGTCAAGAAAAATCAAAGATTGGAATTCTTTCAATTAAAAATGAAATAAGGTATAGATTTGATATAATTATTGATAATTTCATATTAAAACTAAAAATAAATATTAAATATATTAAATTATATTTAAATTATTATTGTA